GCTGTGCCCCCTAACCCCTGTTGCCATGGCAAGCACAGGGCGCCACGGCAACAGGTGCACCAGGGGGCTAACGCAGCTGCAGCTTTGCAGGGAGAAGAGGGGCGGCACGGGCTTCAGCTTCCCCTTGGATCCCTGTTGCTCTCCCCCACCTGGATGACATCACATGTCTGTTGGGGGTGGGGGGGCACAATTTTCTGTTCTTGCCTCGGGCGAAAAAGGAGCTAGCTACGGCTCTGATACTACCTACAAGAACATCTCTCCAGCATTGTTTGTAATCAGTCCTGGAACGGTGACACTCTTGCTCGTATCTGGATAAAATGGGGAGTCATGGGGTCACTATGAGGAAAACGGGCACTGAGCACATTTGATCTTTTTACCTTCATCATCCATCCGGTGTACATTGATTTGGACAATTGAAGCCGTTGTGCGCTGGGCCTGGCGTGTGGAGACGAGCTGGGTGTGGATACTGGCACAGGCCGTGCATTCGGGTAATTACTAGTTATGTGGGACACGGCGAATGAGCCGAAATTCACAAAGCAAATAAACAAGTAAAGACAAAGGGAGCTCAGTGTGCCCGTGATAGGCCAGGGGGGCAAGTGGAAAGACAATTCTTGCCTGCGGCGTGTGCGGCGGCATCGCTGGCTGGCTGCAGGTGCAGCATCGCAGTGTTGTAAGGTTATAGATGCATTGTACATTCCACCATTCTGTAACCAGATTGTGCATTAGGGCAGGTATAAAATGGGGAGTCATGGGGTCACTATGAGGAAAACGGGCACTGAGCACATTTGATCTTTTTACCTTCATCATCCATCCGGTGTACATTGATTTGGACAATTGAAGCCGTTGTGCGCTGGGCCTGGCGTGTGGAGACGAGCTGGGTGTGGATACTGGCACAGGCCGTGCATTCGGGTAATTACTAGTTATGTGGGACACGGCGAATGAGCCGAAATTCACAAAGCAAATAAACAAGTAAAGACAAAGGGAGCTCAGTGTGCCCGTGATAGGCCAGGGGGGCAAGTGGAAAGACAATTCTTGCCTGCGGCGTGTGCGGCGGCATCGCTGGCTGGCTGCAGGTGCAGCATCGCAGTGTTGTAAGGTTATAGATGCATTGTACATTCCACCATTCTGTAACCAGATTGTGCATTAGGGCAGGTGAGACTTCTGATGCAGCAGGTAGAGTGAGACTTCTGATGGAGAAGGTAAAGGGAGACTTCTGATGGAGAAGGTAGAGTGAGACTTCTGATGCAGCAGGTAGAGTGAGACTTCTGATGGAGAAGGTAGAGTGAGACTTCTGATGGAGAAGATAGAGTGAGACTTCTGATGGAGAAGGTAGAGTGATACTTCTGATGGAGAAGGTAGAGTGAGACTTCTGATGGAGAAGGTAGAGTGAGACTTCTGATGGAGAAGGTAGAGGGAGACTTCTGATGCAGCAGGTAGAGTGAGACTTCTGATGGAGAAGGTAGAGTGAGACTTCTGATGCAGCAGGTAGAGTGAGACTTCTGATGCAGCAGGTAGAGGGAGACTTCTGATGGAGAAGGTAGAGGGAGACTTCTGATGGAGAAGGTAGAGGGAGACTTCTGATGGAGAAGGTAGAGGGAGACTTCTGATGGAGAAGGTAGAGGGAGACTTCTGATGGAGAAGGTAGAGTGAGACTTCTGATGGAGAAGGTAGAGTGAGACTTCTGATGGAGAAGGTAGAGGGAGACTTCTGATGGAGAAGGTAGAGTAAGACTTCTGATGGAGAAGGTAGAGGGAGACTTCTGACGGAGAAGGTAGAGGGAGACTTCTGATGGAGAAGGTAGAGGGAGACCTCTGATGGAGAAGGTATCAGGAATCAGGAAGCCGGGAGCCGTGTAATGACGCGAAGCTGGCTTCATGCTCCTCGTCATCTCATGACGAGGGAGCATGGGGCTGGCCTCCCGGGCCAATCAGAAAACAAAGCGTTGCGTCATTACACGGCACAAGGTTTCCTGATTGGCCGGCCAGACGGCTCCGGCTGGGTACCGGAGGAAGGCCGCGTTCTCGCTGGAGAGGCCCCCGGTGTGACAGGTAAGAGGGGAATTTCTTGTTAATCGGGAAGCTGGGTGGCGAGTCTTTACACGCTGCCCGGCTTCCCGGCTAATCAGGAAGCCAGGTGGCCAGTCATTACACGCCACCTGGCTTCCTGAATGGGACTTCCGTTACTCGGTAATTGGTATCGGCGAGTACCGGAAAAAAAATTATCGGTACTCGTACTCGGTACCAAAATACCGGTACCAGAAAATTAGTGATCAGACCCATCGGATGCAATAAACCGAAAAACATATCTGATTGGCCAGAAAAGTCACATGTCCCATTCATAACGGCACGGGAAAATCGGACGGGATCCGAAATTTGGATTTGGAAATTCGGATCTGTCTGAATGTTCGAATTTCGGGTAATTCATCCCAATTTTGATTCGGAACGCGTCTAGTGACTTTCCAGTTCAATGGTGGAGGGATCATTGGTCACATCCGGATGAATTGGAAGCGGGAAGATCTGGAGTAGGAGGACATCTCACAGGGTTGTGCGGGACGGTCATATCTGTAGCCGCTGTATGTGGTTTGTATTCCGTCATTATTGGGATGAGATTGTTGTGTAAATATTTTGCTCTTCTCTGTTCTGTGGGATCGATGTTTTCACTCTTCAGTTACTTTGTATATTTATTGTATCTTTTTAGCGTTACATAGTAGAGAAAGTGAATTAGGAGAGCGACGTTTGTCTTCTTTTTGGTCTGTACCGGCTCTTGCAGTACTATTCCAGCACAGATCTGACCCTCCTCATATAAAGATACACAAATCTTAAAGGAGAACTATGAGGTGAATGAAAATCACTGATCCTCATAGTCGAGCCGACGCGTGACAATGAAACTGTCACACGTCGGCTCAATAGATCGGGAAGTGAGCGAACACACACCGTCGCTCGCTCACTTCTCGATCCTGTCCCTACAGAGAGCTGTGACTGTCACTCATGGCTCCCTGCAGGAATTCCACCCCCCTCCCCGCTCCGATCCTTCAGCGCTGACTGGCGGAACAGACTGGGGAGGAGGCGGGTACAGCTGGCTCTGCCTCTGGATAGGCAGAGCCAGCTGTCAATCCCGCAGCTGTGTGGATCTCTACAGTAATGTCGGGATCCGTCCCGACTGAGGCGGTTTCAGTATGCCGCGAGCTGTAGCCCGCGGTATACTGAGCTTAGGGTCACAGGAGGACGCTAGTTTGTGTCGTCCCGTGACCCTGAGGAGAACTATGGGGAAAAACGCTTACCACATAGTTCTCCTTTAATGATCCTTAAATGCCGATTTACATCTTTTGATCTATAATGCCCAGTAGCGCTCTATCAATGGATAGATTTTTATTTGACCTTCAATCAGCAGCTGATACCTTGTCTTGTTTCCCTTATAAAGGTCGCTGGGAGTTACGCTGTGGGAGCTGTTCGAGCTCGGCCGCCAGCCGTACGACACGTATTCCGACCGCCAGGTCCTCAACTATGTCATCAAGGAACAGCAGCTCAAACTCCCAAAGCCGCAGCTCAAGCAACTGCAGTCCGACCGCTGGTAAGAGACGCACAAGTATGGCCGAGGTCAGGTAGTTACCGATCGGATGGAATTGAGGAAAGGCTGTGAATGGAGCACTGGGGGAGGAGTAAAATCAAGAGTTTTGTCCTTTTTTTCCTGCAGATTTTTCCTAAACAGATCAATTAGTCAAATCAATGAGTTCCAATTCAGCAAAATTGGGAATATCTGCTCATTCAGTAATATCCTTATTAGGGATTTGAAACCTAAATACAGATATGCACCTGTCATGGAACCCTGCCTGTGAGATCTCCCAAATGGGATGTTTGAGTTGTAGGTGGGGAGTCCTGGGCACCGTAATCCAACAACTACTTATAGCTGGTGGGAAATCCAATGGTGAGACCTTTCTGATGTAATTCTTTGCTCTGCTTCTTCTCCCTGTGAAGTTCTGGGACTTTCTGCTCTCCGTGGACCTTTCCCGATCCTCCTGCTGCATCCTTCATAAGGCAGACTTAATGCGAAGACTCTAGCCATGAGGGAGAGAGGGGTCTCATTCTTCTAGCCATGAGGGAGAGAGGGGTCCCCATCAAATAGCCATGAGGGAGAGAGGGGTCCCATTCTAATAGCCATGTGGGAGAGAGGGGTCCCATTCTAATAGTCATGAGGGAGAGAGGGGTCCCATTCTAATAGCCATGAGGAAGAGAGGGGTCCTATTTTAATAGTCATGATGGATAGAGGGGTCCCATTCTAATAGTCATGAGGGAGAGAGGGGTCCCATTCTAACAGTCATGAGGGAGAGAGGGGTCCCATTCTAATAGCCATGAGGAAGAGAGGGGTCCTATTTTAATAGTCATGAGGGAGAGAGGAGTCCCATTCTAATAGCCATGAGGAAGAGAGGGGTCCTATTTTAATAGTCATGAGGGAGAGAGGAGTCCCATTCTAATAGCCATGATGGATAGAGGGGTCCCATTCTAATAGCCATGAGGGAGAGAGGAGTCCTATAGCCATGATGGAGAGAGGGGTCCCATTCTAATAGTCATGAGGGAGAGAGGGGTCCTATTCTAATAGCCAGGAGGGAGAGAGGGGTCCCATTCTAATAGTCATGAGGGAGAGAGGGGTCCCATTCTAATAGCCAGCAGGGAGAGAGGGGTCCCATTCTAATAGCCAGCAGGGAGAGAGGGGTCCCATTCTAATAGCCAGGAGGGGGAGAGGGGTCCCGTTCTAGTATGTTGTCCCAGTGGAATCTCTAAACGTTTGCATACCATGAGGGAGCCCCATCTATGAGAGTGACACCACCACCACTGGAGCGATGGGAGGAAGATCAGAACCGCGGCAGGGAAATCTCACCATTGGACTCAGTTGGCCTTTAAACTACTATTCCATCACGAGCACTTTTGCTTCTTTTTGTACATTTGTGTACAGAGGAATTTTCTCCTTTTTTGTTTTGCAATTATATAGTAGGATGAAAAGGTCGGTTTACAAAGTCTGGGTAGCACAGTAATGCCCACAACAGGGAAAACACAAACACACAGTGACCGTATCATCATGGAAACTTCTATTCACCAGGGAAGAGATCAGCAAGCAGTAGGCATGGATGTGTCACTAGAGAATACGCGCATCCCATTAAGTGCTATGGAAACTGGCACAGCTCAGTCACCGCTCTTCCAGATTCATGTCCAAGAATAATGTGGAGTCACCGCTTCCATGCAGGAGGGGGAGATGACAAGTGCAGCTGTCATGGAACACTGCAAGACCTCCCAAATGGGATGTTTGAGTTGTAGGTAGGGATTGCTGGGCACGGCCACCCAACAACTACTTATAGCTAGTGGGAAATCCAATGGTGAGACCTTTCTGATATAATTCTTTGTGCTATTCCTCCTCCCTGTGACATTCTGGGGCTTTCTGCCTTCCAATGGACCTTTGCCTGTTGCATTCCTCAAAAGGCAGACTGAATGTGAAGACCTATAAGGGAGAGAGGGGTCTCATTCCAATAGCCATGAGGGAGAGAGGGGTCCCATTCCAATAGCCATGAGAGAGAGAGAGGGGTCCCATTCTAATAGCCATGTGGGAGAGAGGGGTCTCATTCTTATAGCTGCAAGGAAGAGAGGAGTCCCATTCTAATAGACATGACCAAGAGAGGAGTCCTATTCCAATAGCCATGAGGGAGAGAGGGGTCCTATTCCAATAGCCATGAGGGAGAGAGGGGTCCCATTCTAATAGCCATGAGAAAGAGAGGGGTACCATTCTAATAGTCATGAGGGAGAGAGGGGTCCCATTCTAAAAGCCATGAGGGAGCGAGGGGTCCCATTTTAAAAGCCATGAGGGAGCGAGGGGTCCCATTCTAATAGCCATGAGGAAGAGAGGGGTCCCATTCTAATAGCCATGAGAGAGAGAGGGGTCCCATTCTAAAAGCCATGAGGGAGAGAGGGGTCCCATTCTAATAGCCATGAGAGAGAGAGGGGTCCCATTCTAATAGCCATGAGAGAGAGAGAGGGGTCCCATTCTAAAAGCCATGAGAGAGAGAGAGGGGTCCCATTCTAAAAGCCATGAGGGAGAGAGGGGTCCCATTCTAATAGCCATGTGGGAGAGAGGGGTCCCATTCTAATAGCCATGAG